GAAAAACAAATAAAATATAATAATTATTTTAAAAAATTAAAAATAAATTATATATATATTTTTAAATATGAGATATAATATTGAATTTAAAAGTAGTTAGTAGGTAGTGTCATGCAAGGTTGGATTGAAGAGCACCCAAAGCTCATCATGTGATTACTATCACTTGTACATCTTTTCTTCTTCCAAACAACTAACATGTATGTATGGTCATATATCAATGATGGAGACATTTGTTTTTTTTTTTTTTTTTTAATTAAATGGATAATCAGTCTGATGGCTAACATGTATTTCTTTTGAAAAAACGGAAATTTTGTATGATTCATATATTATGAACGTCTGCAGTAAAAACTATGAAATGCTGATTATTTTAGAAGATAAATTATAAAATGCAAGACATTTTTTAATAATTGGAAATTGGCGTGCACCCGAATGTGGGCAGCAAATGGTTCAAACGTGATTACACGTTTGAATAATTGTCACGATTGTAGCTCAATCCAATGTGTCGTTAGGCATGTATAAGAAACCGGCAATCTGTGTGGTGTTTCCACATTTTAATTGTATCACGTCTAAGAGTTCGACGATTTTTTTTTTGAAGTATATAATATTTATATACGGCAAATGCAACAAATAAACTCACACACCCTCCTCACCTATGGTGATGTTTGAACCCCTGACCTCCTAGAAGGCCAAGGGCTACGATACCGCTAGGCCAAAGACCCTTTGGTAGAGTTTGACGATTTACCGGCTTGTATTGTGGTTTTTGTATTTTTTGGATCATCTTTGTAATGTCAGGGTTGTCGAAATGTCCGAACGGCAACCCGACTTGAATGACACATTGTGTTGCCGTTTGTCGGTTCAAGTCGGCATCAAACGTCCATATTTGACCTTCATTATCAAGTATCTGTTGGCTTGAATCACCCCAGACCTCAACCCTGGACGCGTTTTTCCGATGTGCCGCTTTAAAGTTGAATTTTCTTCCACCATAACACTTATATCTATTGTTTAGGAGGCCAAATTAACAAAAAAACGGTCAGATTTTGAAAAATACGGTCATATGACCGTTGGTCAGGCCGAGCCCTCAAAACCTCTAAAATCAATAACAGGTCCCGAACCACGGTCCCATAACCTGTCTTTACCGGTTCCGGGTTAGGCCGGTTTAGCCATGTCTATCCAATAACTAGACTACAACCTTTTTCGAGATTTTAACTTTTGATATTCTATTTTTAACAATCTTATCATTAAATATTTTATTAAAATATTCAATACATTTAATAAAATATTATTTTTTTCTTTTTTAAATAGTTATTTTCAATGTTTTCTCTGGAGTTTTAAAGATTTTTCAAATTTAAAAAAAAAAAAAAAACCAAAGTAGTAAAAGTTTGAAGATGATTGATAGTAATGATGATTTCTTTGGTTATACATTTTTAATCTCTTTTAAATATTTTCAATTATTGTTATTTTCTCTTTTTAATCATTTCAATGTCTCCATCTTCTAATCTCTAAACATCATTTACTTTTCTCCCTTTTTAAACTCAAATGAGTGGAATATATATATATATATATATATATATATTATACACAGGTGGATGTTCAATCGAGGACACTTTCATTTTACGAGAACACTCTTATTACATGTGATAATACGCGTGAGGGAATCATGTGATGTGCGGACGACGTGTTCTACAAACTCAGGCATCACCAAAAGTTGTCTGCATCTATGATTTAACATCACATTTGATGGTCTTGATGTATTATAATATGATATCAACAACACCTTTATCACATGTGATAATACTTGTGAGAGGCTTAGTGGTGTGAGGGCGACTTGGTATGCAACCAAGATTGCATCGATAATCGTCTGAGTCTTTGATTTAGTATCACATATGTATCATATGTGATGGAATAATAATATCACATGTGATTGTCTATAGTAAAAAGGTATTCTCGTGTTCTCGTAAAATAAAGGTGTTTTCGTTTGAATGGATTCAATACGTATGTATTTATAACCGAATTTAAGAGTATGCCTACCTTTTATTTCTTAATCCGTCATTGCAAATCATAGTGCAATCTACAATTATTGATTCATTTCTTCTTTCTTTAACCTTTGAATGCAATAGATTCCACCACCTACAACTTTCACAACCAACCTACCTTCTACTTACTTCATTGTCAGCAGTGTCATCCTCGAATCTGTATCATAAACAAACAATTTAACTCTACATGGAAATTTTATCCGTTGGGTTGATATCTACAGGTACTTAACCCTAATGGGACGGGGATTTCCGAGTTTGACAGGTAATAGTACAAGGACTGACAATAATTTATTTTCATACCCGAAGCAGGATCTTGACGGGGTTGGTGATAACATTATCTGTTCCTAATCCGATCCCAATTATTTTTTTAAATTTATTTAGTGTGTGTATAAATAAATATATATGCACATACATATATGTTCTTTATTGTATGACAAATATATTTGTTTTTATTATTGGTAATTAATGTAGTGACGATTCATTATAATTTCAATTTTAAAATACCTTGTTTTTTACTAAACGGGTATTCAACGGGTTCCCCAAACTCGCCGTAGATTAGTCAGGGTGGGATCAGGGATGGCGGGATTAAAAGGGGGGTTGGGGATGCATTACCGGCTCAATTTCCATCCCTAGCAAACAATCAGACCTATTGATCATGTCATCACTTAGAAAGAAAATCCAAATTATGTATTCGAACCATATCAATATCAAAAGTTTTCTTCATCTCGATATCAAATCAACAAAATGGAGTCTACAAAGTTCATCAATGAGGCATCAAACACAATATTCTTGAAATACAACAGATAAAGTTGCAAAAGAGGAATTCATTTCTTATAACCATGACTCACACAACAAACTTATAGAACTAAGTTTGGCTTTTAGTAATGTCGAATTGAAACCAAAATGTAAAGGGCGTGGCAAAAAGTAAACGTGTAACGTGTAAATGGTGATGGTGATGGTGATGGTGATGGTAGTGGTAGTGGTAGCGGTGACAGTGGTGGTGGAAGTGTGGTCACTGGTCTAGTTAGGCAGTTCACAATGCATAAGTGTCCATATGATTTGTTGCTCACTTTACAAGCAATTATGCTTATCTTTATGTTGGTTTAAGTTTTTAAGCTACGTAAATCAGACCTTCGAGTTTTAAGGAAGCCTTCTTTGTGTCATTTTTCAAAAACAAAATGTGAACTGATGGATACAGTTCTTATATCAGATGCTTCCGATGTCATTTTAAAAACTGCATACTTCAGTTGTCACAAAAAAATAATACCTTTTGATAATACCTGTAGTTTACGGAAAATGTAAAGTTTTCAGTTAGTTTTCTAAGTTCACTTGGATGCCGAAACACACTTAATGCCTTTCATAAAGATTGACTCGATTTTGTGCAATGAATTCTTATACTAAATTCCAAGAAAGAAAAGCCCAAGGAATAAGCAACCAGAATGAACCAGAGCCACAAACATAAAGTAAATATTTTTCACAAAATAAACGCTCATAAGTCGTAATTATTAAGGCACGCAAATGTGGCCTGATCACAACCATATAACGAGAATGTTATCTTGTAATAAACTTCACTTTTGTTGAGAGGGTATTGTGAGGTTTACTTTCTAAGGCTTCAAATGAACCATTTTGATGTCGATGACGTATTTTAAGTCGAACCATAATGACGCCTTCAGAATTTCAACAAAAAATGGTAAGATAAATAAGAGATTGATCTCAAAATCTATAAGATGATAGCATTTGATATTTGGTTCTAAGTTTTAATTTAGTTGATCTTTATTGGAAACAGTGGTAAGCAATGTTGCTCCATTAACTACTACTCATCAAGCCCTCTATGGTTGCAATAAAGTTCTTATGCTCAGCCACAAGGGTGGTGCTTGATTGGTTTGAACTTGACTTCAAAGATCAAAAGTACCAGGAGGTCTCAGGTTCATATCCAAGAAGGAATAAAAATCTCATTGTGGCCACGGAGGTTCAAATACGGTGACTCCAAGCTATCTGCAAAACAGGTAGTCGCTCTGGGATTAGTCGGCTCGCATAGCGGGTTGGATATCGATATTAATAAAAAAAAAGTTCTTTTGCTCCCGCACCCCTTATCTGTTATACCCTATGCGCTCAACCCAATGTTATAACCAAACTAAGCTCTAACAGACCATTTTAGCATTTGGTTTCCACTTTGTTTGCATATGACCGACTTTTTAACCATGCAAGCGTTATAACTTAGTTTTAAACGGGTAGTCAATTAGCCGATACTCAAATCTAATCGAAAATACACATATTTTGCTTTGTTATCCCTTTGGTAAGTGTGATGCCTAGTCTATAACTGACCAAGTTTTAAAGGCTCAAGTTCATTCACATACATTTGAATCCATAAACAACTATCATAATCTTCAAAGATGGTAAAAAAACATACGATCTTAACACTTTTTTCCTAATTACACTAATATTCGACATCTTTAACTGCATAAGCTTATAACATTCAGCCATATGAACGAGATACATTCCGGTTATTTCAACATATAAACATATTATATATGCTTAAAAAGATCAACGACACAAGGGTTCAGGAACGGATCCAAGAATTTTTTGATACGATGGCACCATATAAAACGGTTGCATCTTCTAAAACAAAACAGTTGTACTTTTTACAAACCTAATTTTTTTCATCTTACCACGAAGAAACAATACGGTGACACGTGCCACCCCCAACCACCCCCTGTGGATCCGTCCCTCCAAAGGTTTAACATTAGAAGTCCATAATGAACAATCCCTTTTGGGTAAAAACCATTCTTTTTAGAGGATTTGTGTTGAATGGACAGCATTTATAAAGAAAGAAACATTCTAATAAACAATTGAAAAGAACATGGTGGCCTCGAAATCAACAAAAATCACTACGAAGCGTGGTTTTAAACTTGGATTTGACATTCAATCGTCACATCCCATCCATGCCATTGCCTTTACTGAACTGCAAACAAGACCACCCTTCTCTCTCATCTCGCTTTTGCAATTAATGCAACCGTCCATCACCAGCAATGCTTTCTTCCCCTCTTTTACTTCTTTCGTTTATCACACCAACGTTACCTCCATCCCCAAATCGTTCATAAGGTACCTCTTTCTTCCCTTAGTTTCGATCTTTTTTCTTCGTGTTTTGTGTAAGTTTTGTTTGATTTGAAGTTCCTTTTCCTATTTGTGAAAAGGGTTTACGAAAAGTAGGGTTTATAGCCTCTTATTTCGCTGAATTTGTATCGTTTTTGTAGTTTAATCGGCACATATGATCTGGGTTTCTTAGTTTTACTCTTTAGTTTTATTGGGTTTTCTTTACCTTTTGAATTGGAGCTTCATTCTGTGAGTTGGATGGTGTACCAAAATGGGAAAGTTGATGGCTTCTTTTTACTTGACATGATTCTTGCTTCAATATCTCTGCAAGATTTGTGCTATTTTTTTATATGTTCAGTACAAGATTTGTTGATTGTTTGGATTTATTCTCTAATTTTCCCCAAATAACTTAGATTTTGTTTGATGGGTACTGGTATTCATCTTCTTGGATTTCATACATATGATCTTGAAATCTTGAAGTTCCTAAAATGGGGGCATTGATGGATTTCTTGCCTATTGTTATGTGTTTCAAGTCTTTTTGGGGGCATCCATGACTTTGTTTATGGCCTTTTTTTGCATTTGAGGCCTTCCGAACAGGCGATTAGCCTTTCGAATTGCTGGAATTGATAATTAGTTACAAAAACGAAGGAAAAAAGAACTGGGGTTGGAAGAGACAATATGGTAGGTTGAAAAGAAAAACAACATAAAGGGCATTTTAGTTGGAAAGCAGATTGTTGTTTCTTTTGCTACTTTCTGCTAACCAAGGTGTTCTCTTCTTTGCGTTTTCGGCTTTTGTTGGTTTTTCGAAAACAAAAACGAAAGAAGAAACACTCTTTTTCGCGGAAAATAGGGGAAGAACCGCCACATTTAGCCAGAAGTTTTCCCCGTTGTTTTCCGTTAAATGGATTGTTTCTCTTATTCCCCGTATTTGGTATGCGTGTTGGTTGTTTATAAACGAAATGCCAAATGAAATGGTTCAGTCACTCGTATTCCACACAAATAGAAAATGTATATTTTCTTGAAGACCATCCAAGGAACCAACGTTTGGCCATATTCGACTTCACAACACCGCTCTCTTTCAAGATTGACTGAAGTTATCGGTTCATATACGTGTGTTTTCAAGATTGGTAAAATATAACGAAAGATCTTGAATTGATACATGGTAGTTCTTTCACTTGTCTTAATGTGTTTGGATCATGCACAATTATTGGATAAGTTTCGTGCTTTTTGCTTCCTTTTTTTAAACTAAAGAAGATACCAAGAATGCTACTTTGTGTACGTATACATGGGTCAATTGACTATTTCCCCAGGATTCTTGATCGGGCTTTCCTTATTTCCTTGCTTTCTTTGTCGTCTTCACATATGAATAAACATTTCCCCAATTGTTATATTATATAAAGATTCTCTTCTATGGACACATGATCTATGCACCATGTTCTGCAATCTGCATTATTTATGTCTTATTCACATGCAATATTCATTAAACTATGGTGTGCTCATATGTGTTTTTTGTTATAAAGCAGTCAAAAAGCAGTCACTTATATCTTTGATTTGGAGTAAACAATTGATCTGGACGCTGTTTTCTTGATATGTTAGCTAGGCTGATTGTCTTTCCCCAAGCTTTTGACTTTTGACCAAGATAAAAACCTGCCCCTTGTTCCTAGTTTTCTGAATCTTCACGACTTTTTTGCCTCTAATTTGGTCGGTTTTGAGGGAGGGAAAATGGGGTGTTGTGTCTCCACAAGTAGTCGGGGTGGTGGCGGGAAGAAGAGAACGAAAAGAACATTTTCCGACCACGTAAGCGCCTTTCAGCACACATCCTCGATACCCAATAGGATTTTTGCAAATGGGAAGAGCCGAAGTTCTTGTATTTTTACTCAGCAGGGCCGAAAGGGAATAAACCAAGATGCAATGATCGTGTGGGAAGTAAGTCTTGTTTCTTTCTTGATTAATGTTGTGTGATTGCGTTCTTCATGAAGACCCCATCTCGATGTGGGATATACTGGTTTGTTTTGGATCGCGTTCTTGAATCTAGTTATATTTCGGAAATGTTGCAGGATTTCATGTCTGAAGATGTGACCTTTTGTGGAGTCTTTGATGGCCATGGACCCCATGGACATCTTGTAGCTCGTAAAGTTCGTGATACATTACCATTGAAGTTGTTTTCGTTTCTTGATTCTTATGAGTCGAAGAAAAACCAATCTAGCACTTCGATTTGTTGCAATGGGGATCCTGGATTAGAGGAGGCTGATCGGGAGGAGGAAAAACCCGAGTTATTATGGAGAGAAGCGTTTCTAAAATCATATAAGGCGATGGATAAAGAACTAAAATCTCATCCCAACTTGGATTGCTTTTGTAGCGGAAGCACTGCCGTCACCATTGTTAAACAGGTATCGTTTTTTTCGTCTAGAAAACCATTTGAAAAAAACGAATAAAGGAATCTTGATGATGGGTAAATAGGTAACTTGAACTACAAATCTTTACAGAAGAGGAAATGTTCCAATTTTCATGGGACGTATACGGTGTTCTCTCTTTTTTATTTGCAATTTTAAACCGAGTCTAATGATTTTGTCAATGAAACACTTCAATTCAAGGGATCGAATCTTTTCATGGGAAGTATAGGAGATTCGCGAGCCATCATGGCATCTAAGGACGTCAACGATTCACTCGTAGCAATTCAGTTGACCGTTGATCTGAAGCCCGATCTACCAAGTATGACTAACTATTAGTTCTTTTCGCTTTACTTGTTGCCGGGGGTCTTTGCGGAAACAACTGCTCTACTCTTTGGGGTAGAGGTCAGGTTTGCGTACATCTTACCCTCTCCAGACCGTGCTAACTTGTTATATGCGTTTTAGGGGAAGCCGAAAGGATTAAACGTTGCAAAGGTCGAGTTTTTGCGTTACAAGATGAACCGGAGGTGCCAAGAGTTTGGTTACCGTTTGATGATGCACCCGGGCTAGCAATGGCACGGGCTTTTGGAGACTTTTGTTTAAAGGAATATGGAGTGATCTCTATTCCTGAAGTCTCTCATCGGATTCTCACCGAGAATGATAAGTTCATCGTTCTTGCCTCAGACGGGGTACGAAAACATTTTTCTTTAAATCAAATTGATTTATTTCTTTGTAATCCGCGACCGTAGAAACTTAGAAATACAACAGACGGTTAGATTCTTAAATTCAGTTTTTTTAGAAGGTACCCTATATTATTCGCCGTTGTTATGTTTATGCTTTAATGATTACGTTGATGCCCAATTACATGTATTGTAGATTTGGGATGTTTTGAGCAATGAACAAGTGATCGAAACCGTATCATCTGCTCCAACTCGGTCGTCGGCCGCAAGGATACTCGTCGACTTAGCCGCTCGTGAATGGAAAACGAAATACCCGACATCTAAAATGGACGACTGTGCAGTCGTTTGCTTGTTTTTGGACGGTAAGATGGACGCAGAATCGGATAACGAAGATCATGGTTTCTCTTCCGCTACCCTCCAGAGTAATGCAGGCGAATCAGACGACGGCCAGAATCCAGAGCCATATTTGCAGCGGAATTTTACGGTCAGATCATCGGAAGAGACCAACGATGCTCGTAAAAGAGAACAAAACGATGTAGTTTTGGAAGGGAAGGAGGAAACGGTCATCGCGGTAACTGAAGATCAGAACTGGTCGGGTTTGGAAGGCGTCACTCGAGTCAACTCGCTGGTTCAACTTCCTAGATTTTCGGAGGAGCAGCCGCGAACGTAATTATTTTTGCTTTTTTTGTTTTTTGATCTTCATACTTGAACTGGGTATTGGTATTATACTGTGTTTTTTCGGAAATGTAAGATCTCTCTTTAGGATTCATACCATTTTATGTTGGTTTTGGATGTTTTTTTCTTAAATATTTCATAGAAATGTTCTTAAAATCCAGATGCAAAAAGGTTATGATGTCAAATCATTTGAAACGTAGATACTGTACCGGTCCTACAATCATTACGAAACTGTCTTTTAACAGCTTGACGGTGTCTAGGGTCCAACCTTATATTTTCAAGGTAATTTTAAATCAACATTTCTTTCTGACTTGATGATTAAAGGTATTGTTCTCTTTATAAATGATAACTTAGATGTTATTGGTCACTATGGTTTGTTAAAGATAACGACTTTCATCTCTCTGGTTTTAAAATAGCAGTTCTTATTTCTGTATGATTTATGGTTATTCTCGTCTTTAAGGAAAATTTCTTATCTTTAAGGGATGAAAACATAAATGAAATATAAACCGTAAGAACAGAAACAACAATAAATTGTAAAATATAAGAATGAAATGTTAATTTTATAACTATAAGGACTAAAACAGCAATTTTCAAGAATCCAGTGGATGAAAAACGTAATTTACTCCAACAAAAATCGAAAAATTTTAGGTCCTACCGAGATTTGAACTCGGGTTACTGGATTCAGAGTCCAATGTCCTAACCACTAGACCATAGGACCAGTTGTTGAAGACACTTACGAATTACTGGAATTGAATGATGAGATCAAGCTTTCGAAACCCTCATAAACCCTGATTTTACAGGTTTCAAATCCAATTTCCTCTCGAAATGAAATTTAAACTGCAATCATAATCGAGTTCTTCTACATGATGAGAAAAACCTTGCTGAAATCCTTCTACCCAGTCACAATCTACAGACCTGACTCTTCCTCCATCAATGGCGGAACAAAGATTCATTACCCATTTCACCACTCACCAAAACCCGACCCGAATCCACTTCTCATCTCAAACCCTAGGTGGGCTTTCACCGCAACCTCACCTCCACCACCGGAATGGGTTCAACCCATCAACGACACCTCCAACCTCATCACATCACACCCCAAACCTTCGCCATGGGTTGATCAGATCCTCAATCTTTTAAACGACGATTCATCGCAAATGGAGCCCAAATTGGATGCTTTTTGTCACAGATGGCTTATCAGATTACCACCCAGTTTCGTTTCCTACATTCTTAAATCGGATTGGATCAAAACCCAACCCGATTTAGCCTTTCGGTTCTTCAAATGGGCAGGTAAGCAAAAGGGTGGTGGTGGATATACTTATACTCATAATCTTGAATGCTATGCTTTCTTGATTGATGTTTTATCTGTTTCTAAAGATTTGGATAAGGTTAAGTTTGTGTTCATTGAGCTTAAACGAAAGGGTTTCTTAATGAACATAATCTCTGCAAATTTGTTGATCAGATCATTTGGAAATTTGGGGATGGTTGAAGAATTATTGTGGGTTTGGAGAGAAATGAAAGAAAACGGTATCGAACCGAGCTTGTTTACGTTCAATTTCTTGATAAATGGTTTGGTTAATTCGATGTTCATCGAGTCTGCTGAACAGGTTTTCGAAGTTATGGAAACTGGGCTTATTAAACCCGATACTGTGACATATAACACAATGATCAAAGGGTATTGTAAATCTGGAAGAACACAGAAAGCGGTTGAGAAATTTAGGCGAATGGAGGAGATGAACATAGAACGCGATAAGATTACGTATTTAACCTTGTTGCAGGCTTATTATTCGGATTCTGATTATGATTCGTGTTTGAAACTTTATAATGAAATGGAGGAAAAAGAACTCGAAATCCTGCCTCATGCTTATAGTTTAGTAATTGGAGGTCTTTGTAGAGATGGGAAGCCGATGGAAGCTTACATTTTGTTTGAAAATATGATTCAAAAGGGTCGTAAAGCTAATGTTGCAATGTATACCGCTTTAATGGACGCTTATGCAAAAAGCGGGCATACAGACGAGGTGATTAGGCTTTTTGAACGGATGAATAGTGACGGTTTTAAGCCGGATGAGGTTACTTATGGTGTTATTGTGAACGTTTTATGCAAAACCGGGAGATTAGAGGAGGCGATGATGTATTTTGAGCTATGTAGAAACAATAAAGTGGCGGTTAATGCAATGTTTTATTCGAGTCTGATTGATGGGCTTGGGAAATCTGGGAGATTAGATGAAGCCGAGAAGCTTTTCGAAGAGATGGTTAACGATGGATGTAGTCGTGATTCTTATTGCTACAATGCGCTTCTTGATGCATTTGTGAAGAACGAAAAGATTGATGAAGCGTTGGTCCTTTTTAAACGGATGGAAACCGAAGGTTGTGATCAGACGGTTTATTCATACACCATCATAATGAATGGATTGTTTAACAAACATCGGAATGAAGAAGCGTTAAAAATCTGGGATTTGATGATCGATAAGGGTATAACTCCGACCGCGGCTTCGGTAAGGGTTCTTGCAACCGGGCTTTGTCTTTCCGGGAAAGTTTCACGAGCGTGTAAGATATTGGACGAGTTAGCACCGATGGGTGTGGTTATAGAAACGGCTTGTGAAGATATGATCAACGTTTTGGTCAAAGCCGGTCGTGTTGACCAAGCGTGTAAATTGGCTGATGGGATTGTTGAAAGGGGTCGAGAGATACCCGGGAGGGTTCGTACGATTTTGATTAATTCGTTGAGGAAATCTGGTAATGCCGAAATGGCGATGAAGTTGATGCATAGTAAGATCGGGATTGGGTATGATAGGATGGGTACGATTAAGAGGCGAGTGAAGTTTAAAGTTCTCGTTGAGAAGTGAGTCCCAATTGCCGGACCGAGTTGTAATGTTGCAGACCCAGTTGTCGTGAGTAGATATCGGTTGGCCTCCCCCGACCAAACAAAATAAACTCGGTATATCTTACTCTAATTGGACCTTTCTCTATGTGGGATTCACTGGGTTGGTTTAGCCTCGTGTATGGCAGGTGGATGTGTTTGTGGAACACAAAGCGGGGAGCGCAGTTGAGATTGGGGGCGTTTGGGGGTTCTCGTCGGGATTGTTGGAAGGGGCGGCCACCTAGGGGATGCCCGTGCCTCCGCTCTACCTCCCCGAGCAATGAAAAAGAAATTAGGGTGCTTTAATTTGACGTGTGCTCTCTTAAATTACCCAACGTTTTAGTCTCATCGCATGTGGTTTTACATTACAAGTTGCAAATTTGGATCCTTTTCGACTCTTTTTTCAAACTTTTTTGTAACAAAAACCACTTGATGGTTTGGTTTAGGGGCTGTTTGGCAATTGCTGAATGGTTTTGGTGTAAAATGATTAAGTGGTCAAAATGATTAAGAGGTTTTTATGATATAGTGCAAATTGAAATATAATTGTTTGGTAATTGTTTACGATGAAATTAGTGTGCTTAATGGTTAAGGAAGGCTCATGATACAAAATCATTCAGAAGGTTTTAGAATCATTAAAAGACAAATTTTTTTACTAAACAAGATTTACCTCTTAATAATTCAAATATGACCTCTTAACGAAACTTTTAAAAAGACCCCTTAGTCCTTGTATTTATTTCAGGCTTCCTTTTCCCCTTTCTCTCTCTCTCTCTATGTGGCAACATATGATGGTGTGAATTGACTAATTTGCCCCTTTATAGCAATTAAAAGACAGATTAGCTGGTCATCTTGTCTTTTAAAAAGTTTTTAATGCCCTTGCTGGATCCAATCTGTCCTCCATGTGTCCGGTCTTATGTGTTTTTTTATTTGCAAAATGACTAATTTACCCTTGATGTCGAATCTAAGACGTTATTTGCGCAGATTAGCCAGGCGACCCTTTGTTTTCCTTATCGTTCATAATTTTTTGTTGTCCTTGATGTATCGGGTTGTTCATGTTTTTCCCCAAGACATGGTTTGGGAAATGACTAACTTACCTTGACGTCGTACAGATTTAAAATGTTGCAGAGATATTCACACCGATAATATATGTATCAGCTAAAAAAGCTAAATTGACATTTAACTTTATATGTAGTTATAGTTGGATGCATATTAGGATGAGATGTACCAAGATGCACCGGATCAATCCCGTTATCAAGCACGATTAGGGCTGTTTCGCTGTAAACAAACCGAACAAACACGAACGGAGGCTTGTTCATGTTCGTTCGTTTAACTTAACTGAACAAACACGAACAGTAAACAAACGAAAATCTTTGTGTTCGTGTTTGTTCGTTTAGAAACCAGGTGTGCTCGTGTTCGTTTATTTTCATTCGTTAACATGCTAAACGAACGTAAACGAACAAACATAAACGAACTGGCTAAATGAACAGAAGTAAATATTATTTGAATTCAAATTAATAAACAAAATATTATATATTAAATTTAGTATATAAACGAATGATAAATGAACGAACATTCACGAACATAAATGAACGAACGAGACTCTTGTTCATGTTCGTTCGTTTAACTAAAATGAACAAAAAAATTTGTTCCTGTTCGTTCGTTTATTAAATAAACGAATTTCCCGTCGAACGATTCGTTGAACGTTCGGTTCGTTTACAACCCTAAGCACGATTGTGAGTGTGTTTGAAATTAAAGGTGATCAAAAGTCCAAATCATTTATTACGCTTATCACTTTAACTCTGTTTCTCACACGATCCATTAGGCTATAATGGTAAATGTATAGGAGGTATTAGTTGGATCACATGATGATAGTTGTGGAAAAAGGGTTTGTCTTATCCTCTGGAGGCATCTCAACTACGTGAGTCCTATAGAGAAGTGAATATTGTTGTGAGTAGAGTCATCATGATATCGCGTTTTTATACATGACTTCTATGCAAAATCTAGAAAATAAAAAGGACAAAATGGAACCAAATTTGTTAATTTGGGATTCCTTATTTGAAACAACTTATATTTTTCTAAAGAAACATTTATCAATTTATTATAAGTTAGAAAAGTTTAACTTCTTCAAAAACTCCTTATTACCGGTTTGATACATGTATAAATTGTTTATCCAAATACTCAAAAATGCTTATTACCGATGTCATACCGGAATAAGTCAATAAGTTGCTTTTAAAAGCAATTCTAAACACCTGGTTAATTATATTTAGTGCAATATCAAAAGTTACAATATCAATAATTTATCAAAATCATCTTACAAAATAAAACTAAATTGAATTTTGTTACATTTTACTTCGAACAAAAACCCAAATTCTTAAATTAAAATATATTTCCACGTTAAAATCATAAATTGTTTTCTCTACAAAAATTTCTCCATGGCAATGGGAATCAGCCGGATGTCTAAACGACATCGTATCCCGTAGATATTGGTTGATGCTGTACTATAGGAATATGAAGCACTCCAAGGAAACGAGGGGATTCTCCAGCGACTCACGTGTCTCCGTTTCCGTTTCCGGCTCCGGCATCACGCCGCCGTCAGTAGTCTTCTTTAACTTAAAGTTTCCTTCATTCTCCGTCACGTTCATGGGTACCCGGTTGCCAGACTTCGGAACAGGACTTCTCTCCTTAGCTTTCCGAAGCTGTACTTCCTCTCTCCTCATCGCCGGTAACTTCGATCTTCGAGCAGGAGGTTCTCGTCGGACGACATTGGATGGTACCACATTCCGGTGGCGTTGTGTTGTCGTAATATTTCTTGAAGGAAGCTGGATTTTTTTATCCATGGAAGGAATTGTTGATCTTCTAGCCGGAGGCGGAGGCCTGATGCCTCTTTCTTTTCTTCTGGCGCGTTCGACGGAAGACGTCGTCGTCGGCTGTTTTCTCGGTATCTTTTTGGCCGGCGGACACTTCTTTATTTTCTGGGTAACTTCTCCGTCTTCATCTATTCCGATTTCGCCTCTCTTGAGATCTGTTGCCAACGACGTCGTCGTTGTTGTTGCAGCAGAAAAGGTCTCGCTGTAAGTATACATCTCCGACGAGACCTCAGAAGCGTTTTCTTGGATTTGGTTCTTGGTGAATCGGACGACGCCGTTCCCAGACTTGAATTCTTGTACAGGATGGAGAATCTGTTGGTTGTCGCCGGTGATTTTTGTTGGGGTGGAAGTAGTCGGCGGTGGTTTTTTGGAGACGATGGGGGTTTCTGAGAGGACTTCTTTCACTGTTTCTTCTTCCGGCGACAGAGGACCACCACGTAGTTTCGAAATGGGTTTGGAGTCGACATGGTGATGGTGATCGTCTCCGGCGGTAGCGGCGGAGGTTGTTAAACAGCACCCCATTTATCGTGACTGTGATATTACATGGAAATCAGAAGTGGAAGTGAATTAAACGAAGGGAATCTGTTGAACAAATCTCTGCAACTAAAATGGCGATGATGAAATTGAATTGGAGAGGAGAGATTAAAGGGATTTGGGATTTGGAGAAAGTTTGTTTTGGGGGTGGGGGACTGCCTGAGCCTGACTTGGTGCAGCAATGGAGGTTTATTGAGGGGGTAAAAGTAAAATCACACAGCAACATGGGGAATTAAAAGATCCTATGATAATTAATAATAACATAGTTTTAATCAAACTAATATTATCAATTATTTATATCAGAATCAGGTTAAATAATGTAATTGAGATCTTAAAAGTACGATGTTAATATATATAAAGAATATATATATACATATATATATATATATATATTAACATAAAATTTAGGGTCCGTTTATTAAACACTTATTTTGATAAGTGTTGATCGGGTAACTTTCCTCACCTAATGCACATGACAAGGGTTGAAAATCTTACCTGGTAAGAACGATGATAAGGATAGAGAGTCTTATCCGGTAAATGATGGTGAGGACGCTTACGGGTAAATTATTGCATACGATATCGTTTTAATATAATACAATCTTATCTGATAAAATAGATTATAATGTTGACTTCTACTGAAAAGTGCTTAATGAGTAAGTATTTAAGTAAACGATCACTTACTTTTTATATTAGTGATAGATTATTTGAGTTGATTTTAATATAAAATATTAAAAAACAGAAAATTGAGATATGAAAATATAGAAACACTTTTTGCAATCCATGAGTTGGTGATTGGAGGGGGGACACATGATGCAGAAAGGACAACACTTGAATGGTAAAAGAGCCAAGATGATGATAATGATGTTACCAATTGCATCCTTTTTGCCTCCACTCTATTTTGAGTTTTGAACAAAAAGTGAAGTTTTGATTGTATAATAATCATAAATAAATTAATTATTGATGATATAATCATTTTTAATACATTAAAAATGTTTAATAGAAACCACAAATGTAATGTCTGGTTGGTTTAAGCTTGGTTCCAAATGTCAAAAGTATCTGGAGGTCTCAGGTTCAAATCCAAGGAGGAATAAAAATTCTCTTGTGGCTACAGAAGTTCAAATACGGTGATTCTCTTGTGGCCACAGAGGAATAAAAATTAACGTAACGTGTTTGAATTTGGATCGTCTTTATACGATTTAAATGGAAATAAGCTAGCGTATTGAAATGTTAGTTGAAGTAATATTTTAAGAGTTTTTTTTTTTAATTTATAACTCCGATTAATATTAATTGTTATTATTAATTAGAGTGGATTATGGATTTGGCCCTTGTTTTTCGATCTTTTATTATTAGGATCCCTATAGTATGTTTATTATGAATTTGGTTCTTGTGGTATTCAATTTGTTATGATCATGGTCTCTCTAACTAACACGTTAAGATACATTCGTTAACTTAGTTAAATCAAGGGTCATTTTTGTTTTTTTGTTTAATTTTTGTCTTTTTCTTATAAAAAAATAAAACAATATTTATACACAAACATATCTTTATATAGGGAAAATTCTATAAAAAACGCAATGGACTTTAGTGTTTGGAATTATTAAGTCATTGGACA